CTCTTAAGAAGGGGATACACTTACCTCATCACTTCTCACCAGGACACAGTGTCTGATTGAAGGACCCAACAGGAAAACTCTCCAGTCCACCTCTAAGAATTCTCGTGGCCAAATAAATAGGACATTTTTGTGTTGAATGATTGTGAACAATATTAAGGGTTTATTGGGGAACACTACACTCAGAAGATGGTAAAGCAGTCATCTGTTGACTTGACCTGCAGTTGAACTTGATCCCAGTTATGGTATCTTGTACTTTGGCTTCTTCTCACATTTGATTGTAGCTTCCTGCTTCTCACTACTCTGCTTTCAGGTGTGTGTCCACACGGGTCACTGAAACTTGAATAAGGTACTTAAGCAAATGAGCTGTGACTTCTGGGAAAGTCGGCAAGGTGGGGACGGAGTGTGAAAATCCTCCCAGATTTGAGCAAATAATTCCTTGAGTGCCTCTTATTCAGATTTCGGACTCGAACACAGACTGAATCACTGGTTTGTTCTTGTATGACCACAGCGACGGTTAGAAGTGAACAGAATCCTGCTCTGAATGGCATTTGATGGAGGGAGGGCCAGACATGAGATCCTTGACAATCCGTTGATCCTGCACTGTCAGTTCTGAGGGTTAATGTTTACTGAATTCAAGGGGTGCACCGTGACGCTTTTCTGATCCGAGCTCAGCTCCTTTGTTTGAATGTACATCTGGGCTTTACCAGAGACGACACACAGGCATTGTATTCTATCCAAATATACTTGACTGAGGCCCCCTTTTCATCACCAACTTCTCTTGAGTGAACTTGCATGTGTTTGCCTTTTCAGGCCTCACACTTGAGTGCTGTCGCCCACAGGCCTCCACCTGCTAACAAATGTAGTTTTGAAGTCGTTCCTGAAAATGAACACAAGGGAGTTAACCAATGAGAAGCAGAAAACAATCAAGGTATGCAATCATATCCCATGAGTCAAAATACTGAGCAGCACTATTTCCATTGAAAGTTTTTTTAAGTGTTTGTCCTGATATTTTTGTATTAAAAGTAACCAGACTCTGAGTTTGGGCACATTGTTGTGTGTATGTGGCTTATATAGCAGGTAGAGACTAAACTATGTGAGTGTGAGTGTATGTGTGTGTGTATGTGTGTGTATGTGTGTACTGAGTGCTCTCCTTTAACCAAGAAGCATGTTTTATACATATAAATATACACAGTATATATTTTACATGCCATACAGTGCACATGATATTATTTATACAGCCTTGTCCACTTTGTATTTAAGGGCTCTACATCCAGATTGCATGTTTGCTACCAAACAGCTCTATAATAATTACCACTTAAACAATAAAGATGTGGATGTGCCTTTTGGTTTTGGATTATTTCTGTCTAAAATGTCTAATTCTACAGAGGACTGTCACATACAAACCTGGAAAGACCACGATGTAAAAGCTTGAATGTTTGCTTTATTTAGTAGTTCAGAAAAGAACTGTACATTTCTAAAAAGCTTTTCAAAAATACTGAATCTTTTGTCCTGAGTAGGAAGCTCTCCTAACAAATGACACTACATGTCTCCACATACAGTATGAAGCAGATATCTGGTCTCTGGAATGTTAGAAAGAGAAACGTGTGGGTATAAAATCCAGGTAAAAACAATATAAAAAGCACATTTTACGGGCAAAAGTATTACAAAATCATCAGCTATAACCGTCGCGTCAGTTTTTCAGTACTGGCTGTGTCCAAAGTAACTGTGTAAACGGGTGAGGATCAGTGTGGTGACGTCACAGTCGGCTCCGGGATCCATCTTTAAAGCTCAGTCTTCTTTCTTGGAGCTGCTGCTGCTGCGTCTCTGGTAGTAGAGCACAGTGAGCAGCACCCACAGGTTCAGCAAGGTCATGACGACGAAGCGCACCATGACTGTGACACAGGGAGAAGGAGGGATTGTTAGAATAAAGCTCAACTGTCTTTACACCAACTACTGAAGGATCTGCCCGTTCAAAGCGGCTTAGGTGCATTATAAAGAGCTTATGGTAGTCATCAGGTTTCATTTCAGGTTCTAAGTGCATTTTCTCCACATCCACATCCCAGATTAGGCTTTAAAGGCTAATGGTTGAAAATACAATTAGCCCTAAGTGAGTATTGATTTTAACTAGTAAGATACTGGTGACTGGGCACCAAGACACTTTATGAAATTTCACTCCTTCAAGCACTCCACAATCACACACAAAAATCCATTACTCATGTAAAGTTATGATGATTGATATTTAGAGAACAAATCCTCCTTCAGAAATGAAGAGATCATTAAGAATTCTTTTCTGGGAAAGTCGAGCTGCCACAGTCGTTTGTAACCTTACCCTGCATGTCCCCAGTTGTCACAGTGGTGGTGTAGATCCGCGCTGAAACAAAGAGGGAGCCGCGTCAGTGACATCCTCTTTATCCAAGAGAGCGTCTAATGTTTCATTAATGAAGCGGTGAATTGCTAATTTATTACATTAAGAGCTGAATAAATAGTACAATGCATATTCATGACCTGCAATGCCACACTAATGGTACTTTAGGGGGAGGAGAACGTCTCGTGACTTTCTCTGCATCAGTGATGGCGCGATCTCACGTTGTCTGTCAAATCCTCATCTGATGTCTCAGGAATGCCTTGAGGGAATCTCTTCAAATTTGGCACAAATGTTCACTTGGCCTTTAGAATGAACTGGCCAGATTTTGGTGGCCAAAGTCAAAGTTCAACCATACAGGATAAAATGGTGAGGTGATGACATGTTATATTGAGAGGGCTGTCCACATTGAAACAGGTGAATGAATAGATCCTCTGTGCTGCCAGGTTAAAAAGTCCTCACTGCACATATTACAGGTGCATCTCAGTAAATGAGAATATGATGGAGGTCAGCAGTCTTCTCCATGACAGTGCAGCTACTGAACCAGACTGAGACCATTTAAAGGCTCAGGAACCTTTGCAGGTGTTTGGAGTTGATCAGCTGAGTAGAGTGTGACACCATTAGATTACAATAGTGAACTTCTTCACAATACTCTATACTAATATAATTTTTTGAGATACTGAATTTGGGGTTTTTATGAAATGTAAGCCATAAAGATATGAAATATTTAAGTCTGCATCTATAAATTATTTGACATTCACTATTTGAAGTGAACTACTGACATAAATTAACTTTTCCATGACATTGTAATTTATTGAGATGCACCGAGGCACATGACTTATAATCATACTGTTTAATAATATATTGGGGTTCTGTGATTCGACCATTATCATAAACACTCCAAATTTGTCATATACTTAAATCCCTTGGCATTAAACCAAATTTAAAGCTGCAATAACTGGTAATTTTGTAATAACGTGTTACAGCTGTAGAAACCAGAAACATTTCGTGTCTAAAGAGTTTGATACTAGTACCTGGAATAATAGGAGTCAGTAGGGCTGCTAGTAAGTTCACCTTAACATGCTAAAATGCTTCTTTCATGATGATGATGATGATGATGATGATGATGATGATAACATTTTATTACAAACAATTACAACATTTTATTACAAAAAATACTGTCTGTCTGTCCAGAGTCTGAACAGGGACATAAAGAAACAGGTTTTTTATGTTGCGTACACTCACCCATGCATGTGTAGGTAGCCATGCCCCAGGAGAGGGCGCTGACCTGTCCAGCGTCTTTCGATCTCCACAGACACTGCAGCTGGGCAAATTTACTGGCTGCACTATGAACGTGCACAGGCTCTGAGAGGAGAGTGGAGTCAGAACAATTCATGTCCACACATTGGTGTTCAATCCTCACCAGGCCCTGAGAAGCTGAGATTCACCTTAAAAAGTTTTTACAACTTTTCACAGCTCTAAAACTTCTCAACCCCTTAAAAGGAAAAAACCATTTATTAATTTAACCAATGAGACGACCTGGTGTTCGTAAGGTCCAGGTGTCCTCCTGAGAGGGACCAGGAACAATGAGGCCAGGATAACTTCCTGTTCAAACCACCACCTCATTACTCCTGACAGATGGCATGCCATTCTTTTGGTTACTGTCTGACACACTGTGACTTTTGATGTTACTCTGATATATTACCATAGCCAGATCTATGATCCACTTCTCCACAGTGAGGAGCCTCCAGCCCCCGACGAGCCTGAGCACATTGTGTTAAGGTAATAACACATGACATAGACGAGAATCCAAAAAGGCCAACGGGTCATTAATTCCCTTCAAAACAGTTTGGCATCCAGTGCTGTTCTAAAGTGAACGTGTGCAGAGGAAGGATACACCAGGGCGTAGATGAGGCTCTGCCGCAGGCTGCCGTTGTAGTGGAGAATGAGGAGCAGGAGGATGACATCTGAGGACACAGGGCAGGTTATAATAACAGAGTGATGGGTGAATGATCAGTGGGCTGCAGGGTTCGTTCAGCTGGGTTTGATGATGTGAGAGTAACTTGTGAAAACAGAAGAGCTCTGACTGGTCTGTAGAAGGATGTCATAACTGTGTCAGGCCTCCACCTTTGTTACTGTAGCTCTGACTGGCTTCAAACAGGGATCAATTAACTTCACAGATTCAATGCTCCTTGTGATTGTGGTGACACATGACATCGGTCACCAACCACATCAGTCATCCAGATGATTTAATGATCTCCTGTTCAAATCTCATGTATGATAATGGACCAGTTTGATGCTGTGATGTGCTCTAACAAGACAAATGACCATGTTTGATTTGAACAGACTGGGACTGTGGAGAGAACTGTGAGGCACTCAGCACTCTTTGAAATACAAACTATGGTAAATGGACTTGCATTTATATAGCACTCTATGACCACCATTCATACACATATTCACACAGCACTTTCAGATCTACATACTGCACATTCACACACCAATGATACGTCTGATGTATGTGGGTTCAGTATCTTGCCCAAGGATACTTTGACTGGAGGAGTCAGGGACACCTCTGACCTTTCAGTTTGTGGATGACTCACACTGAATTACAACTGAAACTCTGAGTAATACATATTTTGTGGCTGTGGCTCAGGCGGTAGAGTGGGTTGTCCATTAACCAGAAAGTCAGTGGTTCAATCCCCGTCTCCCCCAGTCCACATACTATAGTCCCCCAAATTATTATTATATATATATATATATATATATATATATATATATATATGTATATATGTGTGTGTGTGTGTATATATATATAGGGAGAGAGAGATATATATATACACACACACACACACACACACACACACACACACACATATATATATATATATATATATATATACACACACACACACATATATGTGTGAGTGTGTATTTATATATATGTATTTTTATTTCTGCACTGTAAAGCACTTTGGCCAACTGAAAGGTCTTTTAAATGTGCTAAACAAATACAACAGCAACATATGCAGGGAAAACATATTTAAGGCAGAAATTATTCCTGTTTTTTAAATTTTATTTCATTTTTTTTTTTTGATTGCTGAAAAGGAAATAAATGAAACTAAGTTTAACCCGTGGTAACCTCGATAGATCTTCTACTTTCCTGTATTAACAGAATCCATGTAAAAACAAACAAACAAAAAAACATTCATTGTCATCTGATAATCCCATTCCAGCGAGATAACTATCTGTCATACACACAGAAGATACAACTTCAGTTCTGATTTAAACACAATGTAACAGACAGTTACACTGTATGTCAGTATTCAGAGAGGCTCATACATGCAGAACATTATGTTTTTGGTTTGTTTTTTTATTTTGATAGAGAGGTAGAAAGAAAGAAAATAAAAAGAAGGAAAGAAAAAAGAAAGAAAGAAAGAAAGAAAGAAAAAAAAAAAAGAAAAAAGAAAGAAAGAAAGAAAAATTAAGAAGAGGGGGGAAGTGGGGTAGGGTGGGGAGAGGAGGTCAGTGGAGCTCCTACAGTGGGGTGGAGAGAGGAGGTGGGTGGAGCTCCTACACTGGGGTGGAGAGTGGAGGAGGGTGGAGCTGCTGCAGCCCCCTCCACCACCTTCTCATCACCTTCATGCTCGTTTTCTTTTCCTGTTTCCAGCTCCACGTTGGTCTTTTTCCAAAAGAAGCATCTCTTCTTCTTCTGGTTTTTCAATAGGAGCTTCTCCAGTTGCTCCTTCTCTGTGTGGAGTGCGAGGATTTCTAGCTGCAGTGTGTTGTTCTCATCCTCGAGGTTTCCCTTCTCCATCTGCAGCATGGTCTTATCTTCTCGCAGGTGTTTGTTCTCCACCTGAAGGACATTGTTGTTTTCTAGGAGGTTGTTCTTCTCTGTGTCGAGTCTGTTATTGTCTTGTTGCAGGTGTTGTTTCTCCACTTGAAGGACGTTGTTGTTGTCTTGGAGAACTTTCCTATCTGCCTGCAGCACATTGTTGATTTCTTGGAGATTTTGCTTCTCCAACTGAAACCTGTTCCTGTCTTCTCGCAGGTGTTTGTTCTCCACCTGCAGAACATTGTTCTTCTCTTGGAGGTTGTTCTTCTCCGTGCTGAGTGTGTTGATATCTTTTTTCAGTTGGTTGTTCTCCACCTGAAGGAGGTTGTTGTTGCTGTGGAGATTTTTCTTCTCTTCATTCAGCAGATGGTTGACTTTTTGCAGGTGTTGTTTCTCAGACTGAAGCCTGCTGTTGTCTTCTTTCAGTTGTTTGTTCTCTGCCTGCAGCATGCTGTTGTTTTCTTGGAGGTTTCTCTTCTCTGTGTCCAGCCTGTTGTTTTCTGTCAAGAACTTTTGTCTCTCCACCTCCAACGTGTTGGCGGCATCACGGCTTCGTAACTCCGCCTTCAACTTGTAGGCAGCCTGGTAGTTTTGCATATTCACCTGCAGAGCATTGTTTTCTGCCTGGAGTTTTCCTTTTTCATCCCTAAGGATTTGGTTTGTTGACTCCAGTGTTCGCATCTGATCCTGAAGGACTTGGTATTTTTCTTGGTGTCTGTCGAAGTCTTCATTCAGAATCAGCATTTCTCTGTACAGGTTTTTATTCTCAGTTTTTAGGCCTTCGACTTTCTTCAACCAGTCGTCTTTTGTCCTAATGGCAAGTTCAACCATCCGCTTTGTGTCAAGACTGTCATACTGAGCCTGCATCTCTGTTGGAGTCAGCATGTCCCACAACCTTCTGTTAGCCTTCTTGAGCTCCTGGATCTGAATGTCCTTTTCTTTGACATTCTCTTTCATTTCTTCCAACTGCAGTTCCAGTTGTCTGTTTCGTGGGTTCAGTTCTTTCCTCTGACCCTCTGGGATCATCTTCTTCCAGGTCTTCTTAGTGGGACATGCTTGATCTTGACGTCTCTCATAGTTCGGAGGCCTTGGAAGGACATATTCTGTAAATTCTGCCCAAGTGAGTTCTTTTCCAGCCATGGCGTAGTTGTAGTCTCACGTTTGAAGAACAATTGCCAATACTCTGGCTCAGTGTGTCTGAGATTCACAGAGAGCAGACTGTATATACCAGTGTTTAAATTTCTGAGTATATAGGTTTTAAATTCTCTGTGACTTGAGAATAACTTTAGGTTTTTGTTACAACAAAGCTTATGTTGACGTGATGGACGAATAGCACGGTGAGACTGAATTACACGGATACCAGCATGTAGAAGTTCTGCTGAGAATTCTATGACATCACATTTTTTTCTGTATTACATCAGTATGACATCACGTTTTTGTGACATCATCACTGTAGAGTCACTTCACTTTGTAGTGACTGTTGACTCTTCTGTCTTACTGAGTGTACTTCCTTGTGCAAACAAGACTGTTGCCATGACAACAATGCAAACGTCAATGGCCTGACCACAGTGTAAATATCAATGGCGGGAGAAATCACTAAACAAAATAAACCCTGTTGTCGGATGGCACAATCTGAAACTATTATACATGGCTATACATGTGTTGTGGATCAACACATGTATAGCTACATGCCATCACGACAAGGTCAACCAGATCACAACCACTAAGATAACATGCCGACATGCTAACGTTAGCAGCTGACGCTAGCTTTAGCTGCCTATTACTTATTACTCCACACAAATGTAATGTAAATGTAGCTGAACGCAAACACAGCTGATAATAAAAATAACCTGTAACTCATTTTATAGTTAGTTTTGACCTAACTAACTTTAACCATCAAGAATAAAAATTAAAAAAAAAGAAATCTACAAGCAGCATGACATTTTCACCTGTTCTGTGACTTTAAGCAGCTTTTCCACAACATGTGCCTCAATTGGTAGCAGCAAAGTCTGGGTTCTGAGTTTTTACTCAACCTTTGCTTTATTTTTGTTGTGTTTTTGTCATATTTTGTCGACTGATGGAAACTTCTGTGAGGAGAGGAGTCTGTGCATGAGCAAGTCTGGAGGATGCTACCCTGTTCCAGCTGGAGCAAAGGTGAAGGCTTGGAAGTGGAGAGTCCACTGTTGGCAGTTTACCCTGGCAGTTCCCTGTTAGTAGTGTTAGTAGCAGTGTGTGTGTGTGTGTGTGTGTGTGTGTGACTACAAGCACTGTATGAATGTGTGTGAATGGAGGAATGTGACTAACTTAACAGTGTAAAGTAAAAAGAAAAGAGCCATATAAGTTCACAACCATTTACCACTTTTCTAACCAAATGACAACTGGCTCCTTTCATCCACTCACCTTGAGCAATGAGGATTGGGTATTCCAGGTATGTTGGCGGTGGGTAGTCATAGTACATCTGGTACGTGACAAAAACAATGAACCTGAAAAGCAGATGGTGTCAGGTTGTGATGTTGTATGTTAAGGTATAAGTTCAACAGTAAAGGTAACACAAAGTGAGGAGGATTTTCATTTGCAGTGTCATTTGTGACCAACTCCTTCTTTGTATGAGAAGCAGACAGTAGCACTCAGTGTTCAACTCACTCCTTAATGGAAGTGGTTTGGATTAATGCGTTCAAACATCAGGAGCAAACTGAAGATGCTAGAACTTGGCTTTTAATGAGATGCAGCAAAAAAAAAAAGTCCAGGGCTGAAGATCCTGTTTACTGAGCTACAGGCAGCTACATGCTGGTGCTCACACACTGTGGATGTGTATAGGTGTCTGTGAGCAGGCAGAGATGATGGCTGGGAGACTGATACAAGGTGAAGTTGCTTTGATGAGAAGAAATCAAAATGAGTTTTAAAGATAAAGCTGCACGAGATCATTTCACAAGTTTAGAGTATCAATCCTCTGGGTTACACCCAAATCCTGGAGGGCGGGGTCAGTGAAGTGTACACCTTGTGCTCACACTTAGACTCATACAAAACACTTTTACAATAAAGAGGTGTAAGAGAAACAAGATGTCTTTCATTGACTTCAGTTCACGAGACAGAATGAATTTCATATTTATACTTATCATTAGGTGAGCCATGAAATTTGGGAAGGTCTGTCTGAATGAGGAAGTAGTCTCGAACAGTTTTGCTCATGGACCAGCTGCTGGAAGATTTTCACAGTCTGGAGTATTGATCAATAAACCTGGACATCCTGCTGATTCATTGCCAGCATCCATGCAGTGTGGGGTAATACATCATTCCTTCCTGCATCTTTAAGATCTGGTCACACGCTGTAAATGGAGACTCTTCCCACCACTGACAGTGCCAAACACCAGAGATTGATTAGGGCGGATGTTTGCCAATTTAACCAGGGAAGGGAACTCCCCTGGATTGAAGCCATGCTTTGTAATTTAGCCTGATAAAACAAATTTATCACTGCATAAACATCTGAGCCAGTGCAGCTTTATGGATTGGCTATTTCACTCTAACATGCACAATGACAGCAGGCTATCGCTCACCAATGTAGGAGAGAGGTTTAGGACAGTGCAGCTACTGCCAGGCACCGAGGAGACAGAGCACACTGACAATCTAGACGGCTTTACACACTAGTAAACACAAACAATAGTGAATGTAAAATCCATAGATAATGAAGTTTTAAAACAAGACTTGGTCCACACTTCCTGCTCAGTAACCTGAGGACTGGAGGCTGCTGCACTGATTTAGCATCAGACAGGACAGCTGATTGGCACAGATGTTGGCACAACAAGACCCAACTGAGGCCAGTGGTTCTCTGTGCTCAGTAATCCAGCCAAAGCTTTGTAAACAAAGCACAATAGTTGAGTGT